ACAAAAGTACTCTGCCCTATATGCAAAGAGGAATGCTGCCACAGGCGGAGCAGCAGCTAACAGGCGTTAGTTAGGCAGCCTTTAAAAAAAAAGGTTTATTTGTTTTTATGTGCACTTAGTGTTTGGCCAGCATGTATGTCTGTATGAGGGAGTCAGATTCACTGAAACTTCTATTACAGACAGTTGTGAGCTGCATGTGGATGCTGAGAATTGAACCTGGGTCCTCTGGAAGAACAGCCAGAGCTCTTAAACACTGAGCCATCTCTCCATCCCTAGGCCAGCCTTTTTTGGCCCAGTCTTATTTGTACACAGCTGTTTAAGTTTCCTCAACCCAAGCATAAAAATGGATAGTTCACCTGGGTTTTCAATCTGAAAATCTCATGGTATGTAAAACTATGATTTACTATTATTAATATAGGGTTCTGCCTGCATGTACACCTGCTTGCCAGAAGAGGGCACTAGATCTTATCTTAGATAGTTGTGAGCCACCATGTGGTTGCTGAGATTTGAACTCAAGACCTTTGGTGGAATAGCCAGTACTCTTAACCTCTGAACCATCTCTCTAGCCCAAAACTATGATTAAATACAAACAAGTTTGTTACACTTTTCTCCTGTTAACTTCTGTTGTTTTGGTTTCTTCAGATAGGGTCTTGCTACATAGCCCAGGCTAACCCTGAACTCACGATTCTCTAATTCAGGTTCCCAAGAACTGGGATTGCAATATGCACTGCCATGACTGCTTTCTGTTTTTCGTTTGTTTGTTTTATGAACACATCTCTATGACTGTATGTGTATACATGTGTTGGTGTGTGTGCAGAACATTCACCTTCCTTTGAGGCAGGTCTTTTATTGGCCTGGAGTTCACCAATTAGACTGCAGACTGGCTGGCCAGCAAGCCCCGGAATCCTCTTGCCTTCGCATCTCCTGCACCAGGATTGTAAGCACGCACCACCATGCCTGACATTTTCTTTTATGCACATGCTGGGAATTGAACTCAGGTCCTCATGCTTACAAGGCAAGCTCTTTCCCCAGCCCTGCATGTTTTCCTTTAAACACATGAAATAATGACAATGATGCAGTGTTGCCACGAGGATTCAGTACCATATGAGGATACGTACTGCAGTGCTAGGCTGGCAGTGAGCACTCAATGAAGCCATTACGGAAGCTGTCAGGACTGCTCTCACAGGATCAGGGCTGGAATCAGGAGTTCTGGGGCTGCTGTGTGTGAGACCCACACTTATTCTGTTCCTTACTAACCCCACCTGGATACATCTGTATCTATTGCTCATTGGCCTGCAAATAGATAGAAACTATTTGCAAAGCACTATGTGATTCCTTTGGCTTGTCTAAATTCCAGATTCCTGGACGTCTCATCCAGCATGCAACCATAACAGAACCTCACCTGGCAGGCACCCTAATCCTCCCAGTCTGGAAAAGCTATGTGGAACAGACAAGGGTCTGTCCCAGTTACTGCTTGACTACATCAGGCAGCCACCCTTTTCCAAAGTCCTGGTTCCTAAACATCCTGTTTGGTCATGAGGCCTTCTTCCCAAGAACAATGGGGTTGTGGTTATAGTAGGACTGACAGCTCTGGTCCCACAAGCCAAGCTTCTCACTAACCTAGCCAACCCTGGGCAGCATCAGAATGAAAGAAAAAGGCTAAAACAGCACAGCAGCCAGAACAAGCCTTCGCGAGGAAATAAGGTAAAAGAAAGTCTTTAAGATCTCTGTGAGTTCGAGGCAAGCCTGGTCTACAGGGCAGCCAGAGCTACACAGAATAAACTTGTCTCAAAAAAGAAAAGAGAAAGAAAACAAAAAAAGTCAGATGTGGTGGCATATGCCTTTAATCCCGGCACTCAGGAAGGCAGAGGCCAGCCTGGTCCAAAAAGAGAACCCAAGACAGCCAAGGCTACACAGAGAAACCCTGTCTAGAAAAACCAAAAACAAACAAATAAACATACAAGAAAACAACAACACAACCTCTGCTTCAACTTTACAGAGTAGCTACTATGTGTCAAGGACTGAGCAGATGAACAGTATTTCAAAAATAAAGAAGCATTTAAAGAATTTCCACAAAATCAAGTACACAGCTTAGCATCAGGGTGCACGGCTGTGATCCTGGAACTCATGAAGCAGAGGAAAGGAAAACAGGTGTCCAAAGCTAGCTTCAGCTACACACCCAATCTGAAGACATTCTAGATACAGTAAGACTTTGTCTCAAAAACAAAACAAAATGCAAATATGCAAAACCACCACAAGGCAAACAAAATATACTACAGAATAACAAAGAAATCCATTTCCCACCCCTCTCCTCAAATGATATTTCCTATACCATCTCCTGCTATTACAAAAAGAACTCAAGGGCTAGAGAGATGGCTCAGTGGTTAAGAGCACTTGCTGCTTTTGCAGAGGACCAAATTTGGTTCCCAGAAACCACATTGGGTGTCTTATAACCACCTGAAACTCCAGTTCAAGGGCATCTGACATCCTTTTCTGGCCTCTGAGTGCACCCACACACACATGCTCAGACACACACACACAAAGTGACATAAATCTTAAAAAGAACTCAAGCGGACTGGAAAGATGGCTCAGCAGTTAAGAGCACTGGCTGCTCCTTCAGAGGTCTTGAGTTCAATTCCCAGCAACCACATGGTGGCTCACAACCATCTGTAATGGAATCTTATTATCTCTTCTGGTATGCATAAAAAACAAAGCACTCATATGCATAAAATAAACAATAGGGCTGAAGAGATGGCTCAGAGGTTAAGAGCACTGGCTGTTCTTCCAAAGGTCTGGAGTTCAATTCCCAGCAACCACACGGTGACTCACAACCACCTGAGATCTGGTGGGCAGTCACACATGCAGGCAGAATGATGTACAATTAATAAATAAATCTAAAAATTTTTCAAAAATAAATAAATAAACAAATCTTTAAAAAAACATATATATATTTAAAAAAAAAACAAAAAAACTCAAGCTAAAGAAGGAACCAAGCTGCCTTGTTTTCCCCATACCTTGAAATAAATAAACAAAAAAAAAATCCTCACCCTGAGGTCAGGCTTAAGGGGAGAATTCAAATGGGTCTACATATAATGGATCTAAAAAAACTGTATATGTGTGTGTGTGGAGAGTGTAGATCTGATATGTGGGTGTGTATGCCACGGCTTGTGTTTGGAGGTCAAAGAACAGTTTTTACGGAGTCAGCTCTCTCCTTCCAATTTCTTTGGATTCCAGGGATTGAACTCAGGTCACCAGTCTTGTTTGGCAGATACCTCACCTGGGAACCATCTCACAGTGCCCTTTTTTTTGGGTTTCGGAGGCAAGCTCTCATTACATAGCCCAGGGTCCCTTGAAATGGTAATCCTCTTGCTATCCTGAATGCTGGTTTAACAGGTGTGTGCCACCCTGCCTGGCTCAGGGTGACGCTTATGGGTCTTCAAAACTAGCTCTATCTCTTGGACTCTAAAAAGGCCTAGGGCCTATCAGCATGCCAGAGAACTCTACACTGGTGTCCGAGGCACAGACACTCCCACAGGCCGCTGGCAAACTTGTGGAGTGAGTGTACAGATGCAGACGTAAACATTCACACAGACAGTTGGCCCCCTGGCCTCCCTTCCTCATTCTCAAGTTACAAGGTTAAAAGCATCCTATTCACAGCCAAGGGGGGAGGGCGCATGGGAGGGACCATGTCGAAGCAGCGAGCCATCTGGTTCAGATCAAGACTATCCACTCAGGACCCTTACAAACTTCAGAAGTATCCCCTCCCTTCCTCCCTCCCACCCTTCCCCACTTTCTACTGGGAGGCTGGCAATAGGGGTAAAAAAGTGTGACCCTCCCCCCAAAAAATCGGCTGAGGGGAGATGGCAAACAAACAAAAACTGAATCATACAGGCAAGTCTGTACCCTCCTTCTGTCTTTCCTTCAACTCATAAGCACCAGGACTAAACTTGAGATCACCGCTTCCAGGCACAGTGCCTTCCTCCACAAAGCGCTCAGAGACCCACAAGGGTCCCTTCCAATCCAGACTTCACCAAGCATGAGGTCGGGATGGCCAAACAGTTTCTGGACGTTTGTAGAGGACGAGTACGAATCCTTCTTGGTGTACAGATGGGAAACAAGAGGCAAAATGGAAGGAGATGGATGCAGTTGGCAAGAGAGAAACAAAAAGGCTAACTTGAGCAAGCAGGGAAGGGATGAGGACTCCTCCCCGGGCGGAAGGCTATGCAAAGGAGGGTAACAGAAGTAATAAAAGAACTAAACAGGGAAGGCTGATTCGAGCTCAGTCCAGAGCTGCTGCATACGGGCTGGGAAGTTTGGTCCAGTCCCAGGGGCATGACTGGAAAGAAGTAACGGGTCTTACACGACAAAGGATGGAAGAAACAGAAGGGACAAGGGACAGGGCTCAGACCAGCGTCTGGAGAGGGCGGGCATACTGACCAAGTTTCTGGTTGGTTCATGCCTCAGTTTCTCCAAGTAGGAAGGAGGTCAAGCTTATTAGGAAGGAGGTTCTATCTTATTAGATAGAACTAGGCCACGGAGAGTGGCTAGGGGTCAGTACCAGGTGGGGGAAAGGCCGAAGAGGTAGAGGAAAGAAATGCGGATGGTGCTGACCGCTTGTATCCAAGAGAAGTGGGGCAGGGGTGTTCGCATGGAGCAGGTTCCCAAGCGCCGGAGGCTGGAGGCACCAGCACCTGAGGTGTGGAAGTGTGCACTAGGAGAACTCAAGGGCTGGGGCTGGGGGCTGCCAGCAAGGAGTGTCACAGGAGTGCATGGAAGGCTGGGAGCGGCTAGATGTACAGGAGCAGAAGGCGGGGATCCGGATCGAGGCCAAGGCAATCGGACCCCCGCCCACACGGCGCCCAGACCCGGGGGAAGTTGCTGGACTGGACCCGCTGGGTCTGGGCCTCTGAGCCAAGCCCTCTGCCCGAACACAGGAGGGTTGGGGCAGCACCGGGCCCGGGGAGCCCCGCATCCCGCCCTCTCTCATCCCGCCCGCGCACCTCAGTCTGCGCTGGGCGCCGCGCGGGCCATGCCTGCCGCTCCTGCCGCCGCCTCCGCCCGTGCAGAAAGCTGCCGCCGCCGCTGCCGCCGCCGCCGCCGCCGCCTCCCGCTCCGAGACCCGTTAGCTTCACAGCTCTCCAGTCCGCTTGCTGCGGGCCAGTCCCGCCCTTGCCTGGCCCTGCCCTCCCGGAGCACGGCGGCTGCAACCTCAGCCCGGCCCCTCCCCCCACCCCTGCCCAGCTAAAGGAAAGGGTGGGGGAAGGGGGCGGGTGCCCCCTCCCCATTCACATCCTCTGGGGCTCTCCCCTCCTGCCTGTCCCCCTCCCGCCTCACTTATGCATGCTGGGATATGTAGTCCATCCTGGCAGGACCCGCCAGCAGCGCTCCCTATTCGGGACTATCACTCCCAGAAACCAATGCACTCCTATATATGGGATCATGGTCTTTGTAGTTCTGCCCGGATTTGGGGGTTAAGGTGCAGCATCAAGGGGCGTCTTCTGCTTCCAAGCCACGCGGCTCTGGGCAGCTAAAACCTGGGCTGTGGCGCCTCAGCCCGGCCTTGGTACCTGGCTCATCAAAGGATGCGAATAAGCTGAGGATGCCTCTCACCCTCGACAGTGATCAGCTGCGGCCGAGCCCAGCTGAAGGAGACTGTATTTGCTCTTGCCAAGAGCCACGACCTGAGCCAGCTGGGTTCATGCCCTGGCCCTGCAAGCTGCAGCTGCAGTGAGGTCGCTAGGTCCAGGCTGTTGGAGAGAGGGGCATCAGCAGCGAAATGGAAATGGGATTTGTCCCCATGAGACTGTGTACCTCACATGCGAAGTGTCTTGTAAGCACCCTATAGCCCTCATCCATTAGGGCATCTCCTCACTTCAGACTTTTCTCTCTCAGATGCCTTTCGCTTCTTATTCTCTAGGATAACAGGCACACATTTTAAATACATCAGTCCTTTCTTCAACTTTCAGACCTAGCTCCAAACTATTAGGAAGTTCCTAATTGATGACACCTCTGCTTCTCTAAATGGCTCTGACTGGCCAATGGTGAGTATTGGATCCCTCTCCATAGCCTGATCAAATATAGACTTCTGGTCCTAGCCAGGAGTTTTTGGTTCATTAGCTCTGGTCCCCTAGAATATTTCCGTCTGTGCTTTCTTTCTCTTATGTAACCCAAGGTGGCTCTAAATCATTTAGTAAGCCAGGTTTGCCTGGAATCCATGATGGATCCTTGTGCCTTAGCCTCCTGAGGGGTGGGATGATAGACAGGAGCCATCACACCCTGCAATGCACTTTGAAAAAAAAATTTTCATTAATTTATTATGTGTGTATGGTGCTTTGACTGCATCTATGTCAGTGTAACATGTATGTGGCTGGTGCCAGAAGAAGCATTGAATTTGCTGGGAATTGGAGTTACAGACTGTTGTGAGCTGCCATGTGGGTGTTGGGACTCTAACCGGAGTCCTCTGAAAAAGCAACAAATACTTTTGACCTCTGAGCCACCTCTCTAGCCCCTGGTTGTTTTCCTGGTTTGTTTTGTTTTTGTTTGTTTGCTTGCTTACTTTTTCAAGACAGGTTTTCTCTGTGTCCTGGAACTTGCTTTGTAGATCAGGCTGGACTCGAACTCACACAGATCTGCCTGCCTCTGCCTCCCAGAGTGCTGGGATTAAAGGTGTGCACTGTACTAGCAAGCCTGCTGTTTTGTATTGTTTTACTATTAGCCATCCAGCCCCTGGGTGGGTGGGACTGGGTTGTTGGCTCAGTGGTTAAGAGCACTTGTTTTTGCAAAGGACCCCTTTCTGGTAAAGAGCATTTGCTACTCTTGGAGAAGACAGGATTTGGTTCCCGGCACTCATATGGCAGCTCACAACTACCTGGAGCTCCAGGTCCAGGGAAACCTAGACCCTCTTCGGGCTTCCACGGGCACCTACATTCACATGTGCACACATACATACACACATCTGCCCTTTCGTGAAAGTTTTACCAAAAATTATTAATAACTGTGTCTCTTATCGTTTGCGATATATATGATGTTTAAATCTCCTACAACTCAGGAGAATCTCAAAGACCAAAAATCTGCTTATTGACAAATGCAATCTTCAGGAAGGACTGGCACTCTGTCTCCCAGTCTCTGTGGGAGGCTAGAACTCTAACTTCATTAATTATCAGCTAACAAACACCAGGAAGCCCAGCTTGACACCTACTCCTTCCTCCCCTCTTAAAGCACTCGGTACAAATCCAAGCTGAGTTCTCTTCTTCCTAAAGTCTTATTCCAACAGTTTATGGCTGATTAAAATCTACCCTTACCACTTTAACAAGACTCTAACTTCGTTTTTCAGAAACAGTGGATAAATTTCTACTTTGAGTCCTAAGGGTCAGTCTCTAGGCTCCCCAATCACAACCTAACCCACCCCATTCACCCAGCAGCAAAGGGTAAGTTCTCCCTACATTGTGGTCAAGCAGCCAAGTGGCTAACAGAGGCACTGAACCCTGACTAAAACTAACTCAGGAATGTTTTTCTGTTTTGTTTACATTCTTGTTTCCATCACAGGCTGTAGGGAGAGGTGGATGGGAAGGGCCCAAGTAATCCTTGTGCAGCTCAGCTCTCTATCCGTAAAACTAACAACCAAGACGTTTCTGTAAAAATTTTGCCTGTGTTGCAGTAATTTGCAATGGCAACAACTTTCATAGACAAATGTTAAGTGTCTTCTTGCTGTCTCCCAATTTAAAATAATAATAATAATAATAATAATAATAATAATAATAATAATAATAAACATGCTGGAAATTAAACTCAGAGCCCTGTACATATTAAAAATGTGCTCTGTCATTAAGTAATCCAATCCTTTCAACCTCCAGTTTTCTGTTTGCAGATTATTCAGAAGAATCCAGTCCTTCCTGGGCAGGGCAGAGAGATCCTCTCTATCCTTGGGCTCCAGTAAGAACTCCATCATCACTCTGACTGCTTCCCAACTAGGGTCCAGTAAATTCTCCCTGTTGTCTGATGTCTGCTTGGGGTTTTTCTTGAGCAGGTTCTCTCCAGCAGTCTCAGCCTAGCTTTATTTTTATATATTTTATTTTGAGACAAGGTCTTGCTATACAGCTCTGGCTATCCTAGAGCTCACTACATAGACCAGGCTGGCCTTGAACTCAGAGGGCTTCACTCAACTCTGCTTCCCCAGTGTTGGGATTAAAGTATGCACCGCTATACTCTACTAGACTTCTTTTTATTAATATATATATATATATATATATATATATAT